CAGGTCCGCCGGCCCCTCGAGGCCTCCCGGGAACGACCTTCCCGCCCTCGCCCCGGCGTGTCCCCGCTCCCCGCCTGCCTAGGGATGGGGCCGGGCAGGGCGTACTCACCATGGCGGCGAGGGGCGCAGGGCGACGGCGCGGACCGGCACCTGCGGGCAACAGTCCGCGGGGTCAGCAGGGGGCGGGCCGAGAGCCCCGCTTCCCCTTCCTCCCCCGCAATAGCACTCCCATGGCACTCCCTCCTCCTCTCCCACATCCTCGATGCGGGTCTGGAGCCCCCAAGCTTCACCCGGCCGTGGATTGCCCCGGATTACCAGAGCGACCCGCTTACCGCTCCAGAGACACGCACACCCGGGTACGAGAAAGGAGAGGAACGGAAAAGAACGGGACTTCCGCTTCCGGGCGGTTCAGCCCGCCCGACGGAGGAAACCGGGTACGGTGTCTGCAAAGGGTCAAGATAAAACTAGATCTAGGCCTTCTGCTCTTCCAATTCCAGCAGCCCTGCCCCCTTCTGGTGTAGATTAGTAGTGCAGCTCCACGTCTGTGATGGACCATTCCGGCCGCCCTTTTTCCCTGGGCTTCCCTCCTCGCCCCCCCGCCCCCGCCCCCGCCCCCTGTTACGACGACCCCCGGCCTCCCGCCCTCACTCACCCGCTTCCCATCTCGCCCCGCTTGGTTGCATTTCAGATTCCGTTTGAAGAGCGAACACGGTGTCCATTCCTTTTACTAAATCCGTGCTTTGAGCGTCTCTACAGATAATTTTTCTTTTTTCTTTCTTTTTTTTTGGTCAGAGTCTCACTCTGCTGCCCAGGCTGGAGGGCAGTGTCACACTCACGGCCCCGCAGCCTTGACCTGCTGGACTCAGGCGACCCTTCCGCCTTAGCCTTCCAGGTAGCTGGAACCACAGGCAGGCGCCACCACGCCCGGCTAATTTTTTGATTTATTGCAGAGACGAGGTCTCCTTCTGTGGCTCAGGCTGGTCTCGAACCCCTGAGCTCAGGCAATCCTCTCACTTGGTCTCCCAAAGTGCTGGGATGACAGGCTTGAGCCGCCGCGCTCAGTCTGGATCATTTTTGAAGGCAGGGTCTCCTTCTGTCGCCCAGGAGGGGCTCGGGCTCTTGCTGGTCTCACCCATGGCCCGGCGGGCATAGGTGGGGTCAGGACTCGAACCCTCGCCAGGCAGATTCCCCAGCCCAGGCTCCGGGAGGCCTTGGGGGGCTCTGGGAGGGTCGCAGTCCCTCAGCCCCTGGGGCTCATGTCCGTCCTGGGCTCTTCCCCACCGTCTTTTGGGGCAGGCTCTGGGAAGCCTGGGGTTGCCAGTTTTATTTTTACCCTCCGCTTTTATTTTATTTCCAACTTCTCTACAAATGTCTACATGTTGTTATATTTGTTTCCCCCAAATTTAATAACCACACAGCGGAATGTAACTGCCTTGAGCTTATGGTTACCGCGCAGGCCTCCTGAAGGGACGGAGCTCAGCCTCCCCCGCCCTCCCTCCCTGCTTTCCAGGCGGCCACCACCTTGCTCAGGGGAGCTGGTGACGCCAGGGGGAATCCGCCGACAGCCCTTGCTGCAGAGAGGTCACACAAGCGCAGTCCAGGGCCGGGCTGGGTGGCTCAGTCTGTCATCCCAGCGCTTTGGGAGGCCGAGGCAAGAGGATTGCCTGAGCCCGCGGGTTCGAGACCTGCCCGGGCAACTTGGCCAGACCGCGTCTCTACAATAAATCACAAAAATGAGCCGGGCGTGGTAACATGCGCCAGTAGTTCCAGCTACTCGGAAGGCTGAGGCGGAAGGATTGCCGGAGCCCAGCAGGTCGACGCCGGGGTGGCCGTGAACCTGCCGTGGCCCTCCAGCCTGGGCGAGGGAGCGAGACTCCCACTCAAAAAGAAGAAAAAAGTGCAGTCCTGGAGAGTCTGCACGGCGGCCGGACTGTGTTTCTGCAGCTG